TGAGAGGTAAATAAGTTTTTCAAATTTGTCGAAAGTGTCTTAAATTGAATATTAACAAATTCATGATGACACGTATCTACTAGTGCCAAAAGAGTTTCACAGACCTTTTCTACTAAATCGAGTTTAGGTCTCACTTGCACTTTCCACTGTCCGGGAGGAGTGACGCCATCCTGTCTGCTCTGCCCCGGGGCGACTAGTAATCGAGCGATTCTCAAACACCAACCTTCATTTAAAATTGCCTCTTCAAATCCAACTGCTTGATAAAGATCAAATGTTTGCAAAAGTTTCTTCGTAAATAATCTCATAGATTTCTTGTGTTCTTCCACTAAGTCATGAATCAGAGCAACTATTTTTATCTAAAATAAATAAAAACCAACTGTGAATAAATATACTTTTCAAGTTCTCTCCCTCTCCTCTTCCTCTCTCTCTCTCTCTCTCTCTCTCTCTCTCTCTCTCTCTCTATATATATATATATATATATATATATATATATATATATATATATATATATATAATTTGTAACAGAATATTATTAGCAAAATATGTTATATTTCTGTACTGTAGCCATAAAAGAAATAGTTATCACTAACCAAGTTGTTGATCCGGTTAAAAGCAAACAAATCTCTGTATTTCATTAAATGAATTAAATGAAATTTTTAAATTTTAATTATAATCTATTTGGATGTTTCTAAAGTAATAAAGAATGTGCTAAAACCCATAAGTAGTTGAAAGAAATACAGGTGTTTCACCAACAATGGACCCCAATAACTTGTAAATGGTTGACAATATCGAAGAAGTGCTTATTTCGCCCAACAATGCAGAATCATGGGGGCAAGTAATATGATGCAAAGATTTTGTTTAAAATGTTTTGTTTTCGAGAAATTTAATCTTCGATTTTTAATCTGGAACTTTGTTTTTCTCCTCAGCAATGGATAGATCATATAGAGGAATACAATGATGAGCTATTAGTATTTACTAGATAGCGCGATGATTTACGTTCTTGAATAAAATGCTGTAAATAAAGGTCAAAGAGAGATTGTGGGGCGAGTGGAGGGTGGAGAAAACGGGCGCCTTTGGCGGCGGCGGCGGCTGCTGCTGCAGCCTCTTGAGGCAGCGACTCGAGGACTGGGGGCAGTGTCTGCGTGTTAAGGCGGTTTTGTTACTCATGCGCACTGCGACTTTCGGCCGTCGTCTGTATCCAAATTCAGTTTTGTAGAGTAAATGAACATTTTACCGGCCTAAATAAATTATTTCAATTACCACGTTGAAATCCAAGCAAATGACTCCTAGCATGTGTAAAATATTCCAGTAAAGTGAAACAAATTTTAACAAATCAGCGCAAGCTTGCAATAGGAAGAACGACCGGGCAGCCCTCGTGTTGGCGACACCAGTGTTACAAAGTAGATTGTCAGTACAAGGGAACGAATCCACACCCGATGACGATTAACAGCTCAAGTGAGAATTTGGTTAGGCGTTCCCATCACATGAGTAATTTGAGTATAAAATTAGACTTTCTGAAATGTGATATTTTAAATTAAATGGACATTATTTCTGTAGCCCTTGAATCTTCCCTTCGGGGAAGGTGGCCATCGTGGTGCCGAGACTGTTAGACTTTCAATTTAAAACCACATGTCAGAAAGGCTAATTTTATTCTCAAACTACTATCAAGATAGTATCATATGATACATTATCTTTTTATGACATAGTCCTCTTTTTATGATCTGTCCATTACTGATAAGAAAATATATAATTCCGTAATCAAAGATGATTATATTTTTCAAAAACAAAAAATATTATAAACAAAATCTCTAAAGCATATTTCTTGTCTCATAATTCCAATTTTTTTTGGGAAAACTACAATTCAATATCGTGGACATAAGGTTTTTTTTTACATCAAATGAAAATACAAGAAATATGAGACACACAGGTAGGATTACATTTAATTTATTATAATATGTAAGGATTGCTTCTTTCTTATTATTTTTATTCATTTAAACTTCTATAGTTTATACTTATGAACATAACAGAGAAATATGTAATATATTGCGCACACAGATTTGAAGAAAAACACAGCCAAATGGGCCAAGAGCCTCATAATCTATTGAGATTGGTAAGACCTCGGTTTCAATATTATAACGTCGTAACTTAGTACATATTGGCCTTGCTTTTCGTAGGTGATATTTCGTCTCTATTCAGTAACCAATGGTAATCTGCAAGTATATCTCTGTTCAATTTTCCTTGATATCTGCGTTCCAATTCATTACGATCGTGATGGAATATTTCTTCTTGCATCACTAGATTCTCAGGAAAATAGTACAGATGTGAATGTAACATTTGGACTTCTAAGCTCATTTTGCAGCCTAAATCTTGGAAAGAAACAAGCATTCTAATGACCTTTTGTTTGTAGTCTGAATTCTTTCTGCTGTCAAGAAAGTTTTCGATCACATTCCGAACGATTTCCATGCAAATTGTTGTGCTGAGCGTATAACATCATCAGAACTAACTGGCATCATATAGAAGTTTTCTGATATCTGGACCTGTGAATAAAATCTGTTTGATTTTAGCATTACTGATGTCAAGAAATCGATGTCACATGTAGAGGAAGCATTCACCATTATTGTTTAGAACGTTAAAAATTTGCTTCGTAAGTCCAAGTTTGAAATGAAGCGGAGTAACAGTACGTCGGACTGTGAACTGGAGTTTTTTGATTTATATTTTTCGAGGATACACTGCACTGTCTACGTCAGGGTCCTATAACTCCCATTTAACGTGGTGGGGACCATTACGGTGACGCGCTCTGCTGCATCACCTTCTTTACACGAACTAAAACAGGAACTGCTGCCAACGATTCTTTAAACGTGCGTGACTGCTACGTGAGTTCGCGGGTCGCAAGCAGGACCATAATGGTACAAAAGATAACGTCTACGTTCGCGCTTTCTTCAGAGGTTTCTTACAAGTAGTGATTATGAATAATTGTACATTTAGAAGACACTTTTCGTATTTGTCACAAATTAGCATATTTGTAAGTGGGAAAGTTGGCGAGCCTAACCTGCAGCTGCACCCGGCGACACTAGCGCTTCCTATAGTAGCAACCTCGAGCTTTGTCCCCGATTTTGATGGAGAGTTGCCGGGCCCTGGTCTACGTGTTCATCCTTTCGGGTCTAGTGATGTAACTTGCTCGGCTTTCCCACTCAAACATCCACCGAAGAAAACACCAATGACTGAAAGTACTACGCCCTTCCACTTGTGTTCCTGATACTTCAGTTTACACAACATAATCCCACGACTTTCATAAGTTCTATAAGCACAACAACAGAACGAGCAACGACAATAGATGAAAGTTTGTTTTCATTGTGATACACTTCACATTCTTCAAACTACGCTTGGAGACATCGATAAAAATTGTCCATTGTATAGAGTCTTACTGTGCAAATCCTAGTTTCATATACCCTTCGGGTTGTTGTAGCAGTAAACCAAAGTTCTCTCTTTAGAAAACAAAGTGTTATTTCTTGTTCATTCGTGTAATACCATAGTACGTCGTCCCTGGTGGCAATATGTTCCTTTCATGAAGTATAGAAGGCAGATCTCACGAAGTCTAGAAGGCTATCTCGGCAGATTACCTTGTAAGGCCAAGATCTCGAACAAAAGTATTGAAATGTATTTACTTGAGAAGCTTATGTTCCTTTTAAACATCTTCAGTCGAGAAATCAGTCGGAGGTAGGATCAGCCGTTTCTGCGTCACACTTAGATTCAGAAGAGGGACAGTCTTGTAAATTTCGCCGGGCGGTGTGGGACTGTTCCACCAAGACCACGAGGAACGGGTGAAATGACTGATAGAATATTGCTTAGAGGAACAATAATACGTTTGTTCCTGCTGTTAAATACCTTCACTTTCACAGAACTGCAGATGCAGACGGTACTGTGGTCTGTTGCCACACAATTGGACCACCGAATGGCAACGCTGTGTGGTGGCCAGGGATTGACTTGCTCTCCCAGTTTGATGCTGAAGTAGGCATAGTAGGCCTTTCTTGCGAAATGGTTATTTTGCGTTGCTGTCGTGTCGGCGTGAAACTTCCAGACACATGATAGAATGTTTCTGGACTGTTCTTGTAGCCAAGACATGCAATATTGACATTATCTCAATAAATTGTCTCGATAATCTTTTTTATTGGAATATGTGTTAAACTCTACATGTTACTCACTACAGAACACTTAAGGCAAAAATATATTTTCACTAGCAAGCGAAACACACTCAGACTGGCGGACAAACCACAACAAAATGTCGCCACTCAGTGTTACCGGCTCTAAGCGGATTGTACTGGTTTGTCAGGTGGTTAAGGATATTGATTTAATTAATTAATCTGGAAATCTGAATTAAAGTAACTCCCCCTGCTACCACGTAAGAAGTACATGAATGTGACAAAATGTAATGTGATTTTGAAAAAACCGAGACCTGATGTGGAAAAAATAACGTCGGAATGTAGGGATGGAGGATGTAAAAGTAATTCTATGAAGCAATACAAAATGGCGACAATGAATCGCAGACTAGAGTAGTTGGTGGGACATTCTGTATACGTATACAAAGAATAAATTTAAAAAAAAATTATTATGCTATGTTTGACTCATAAATTTTCTTCACAAATATTAGATTTTAATTGATATCTTTGTGTATTGTTGTTACAGATGCACACAATTATGAAGAATTTTGAAGCAATTTTGTATAAATATGGGAAGATTGGAAAAGCTTAGAGAGAAGTTTTCTGAATAGGTAATAAACAATTTTCAAAAATAGGCTGGGCTGTGAAAATCCTGACAATTTAGAAGAGAATGATGTATCAATAAATGAATAAATTGTATAACACCTACAATGCTCAAAACATGAGATAGTAATTGAATGTTTATGCAATTTATATTTCATTGAAATCAAACTCATATTTGCCCATTATTTTATAAAAATAAATTTTCTTGTACATACTGTGCAAATACAAGGTATTGTTTTGCTATGAACCTACCAGAACACGGTCATTTTCGTATGACTTCTCCACTACTTGAGCTAGTGTTCTTAATCCTCCAACTTCCACAAATTTTGCTTGAGCTTGAGGATAGTCCTTTAGAATGCTTGTTACAGCTAGCATTGAATTTATTTGGACAATGACATCAGATTCCAGTACAATAGATTTCAAAAGAAAAGCTATTACACCACTTCTTAAGGCAGAAATCTGCACTTTTGGACTATGGAGTGCAGCTGATGCCAGAAGAAGGGCTGCTTCTGCTTTTATGATAGGTACAGTGCTGACCACTGTAGGAAATATAATATCTTCAATGCTTAAACAAACAAAAAAACATGTTTAAAAATTAAAAACCTTCGAATTTGTGAAACTCATATACTTTGTATTGTTAAAATAATTATGTAGAACATGTAAAAGAATTTTGAAAATAAACATTGGAAGTTTGCATATGTTTGTGAAACCATTAGAAAGTGATACCACAGGCTACCAAAAAGATTGGTTAGAAAATAACATTCAAATATTGATGTTACAACTACACATATTTTCCTTTATTTTTTGAAACAGTTACTTGTAATCTTGAAACTGGTTTCCTACTAATTTTTCATCCATCCCTTGAAAAGATCTCTTAAGCAACACACTCATTAGAGATTCAAATTTGCAATTTTTGGATATTCAGATATGTTAATGCAAACTGAACAAACACAATTTTTGTGAGTAATCTTGACTCTATTTGAGGTAAAAATGTAAAAGAAAAATAAATTGGCCGAGATCGCTAAGCCATAGCGATCTCAGATCGAAGAATCGCGGGTTCGAATCCCGCCTTGGGCATGGTTGTATTGTGTTCGTCCTCTCACCCCCCTATCATCATCATATCGTGTCATCCTTAGTTACCATACTGTTGCAAGCAATAGTGGTCGCTAATGACCTAGAAGTTGGTGCAACCTTAAAAAAAAAAAAAAAAAAAATCTGCATTAGGAATTCTGGGAATTGAACCCGGCCTCCAATTTAGTTGATTGCATTAAACACTTGCTTGCTTATGAGAACTTATGGCCAACAGGAAGATAAACATGTAAAACATACACACAATTGAAAATTTTATCGGGACCCTCTTAGTGATGTATTGACACTTTTGCGTGTACAAAAATAAATTACATTAATTATAACACCGCTAACATAATTACACAGGAACACACAAAAAAGTTGTCAGGCCCAAAGACTGAACATGTTTTTCTACGTGTGTTGACATGCTGAATCCGAATGTGGAGCCAGAATTGCACCATCACCCTCCAGTTTTTTTAATAATGGTGAAACACCACTGTGAAATTGTTACGGAACATCAGTTTTGAAGAAAATACTACAATCAGTTTAGATGATAATGTTGACTGTAGGCAGACAGATGGACTAAGTTTTGCCTTAAATCAATATCTAGTAAACAAGAAACCCACAAAATGTGAATTCTGACTACACAACATATTGTAGGAAGTAATTTATTACATCTAGGAGCAAGAATTATCCACTTTCTCTTTACTATGCGAATACATAGTAGGTGAGAAAGTCAAAAGTCCCAACTAAATCTCAACATCAATTATTTGTAACAGTACCTAACTTTTTCTACATTAAATATATGAAAATGTCAAAATAAATAGTGAATACAGATAAAAGAAATGTGTGGTGTATGAATGAAAAGTATAATCTTCAGTGTTGTTTAGTTCCTGACCTGCTAGAATCATCATTGGCAATGCAACGAAGCAATCAGCTTCTTGCACGCATGCACAGACAATTTTCTTATTTGAGGGCAAAGGAATACAGAGAGCCAATTTAACCAGCAATTGTCTTAAGGAAGGATCTTAAGGAACAGCTCACTCATCTTTACAGAAGGATAGAATACATATTCGTCAATGCACTTTGAAAATAGAAATCTATAAGACAATGCAAGATGAGTGAGCTGTTCCTTTAGACATGAAGAGTTTATTATTTTTATCCTACTGTTGACAATGATGATAATAATGATGATGCTGAATCTGCAGCTGATAATAGTACTGATGATGGCAAGAAAACAACTCACCCATTTAAATTTTCAAATTCATGAGCATTATTAAAATCATTCATAAAGTGCTCTAAGCACGATAACATCAACGCCAGTTCATTTGGGGAAGTGTCTTCTTGACTTGACCTTATCTTCTTAAACTTTGTAATAAGAGAGCGAGTTATTTCCAAATCAGTTTTCTCATTTATCTTAAGTTTCAGAACCACTAATTTACATGTTTGTGTTTTATTTCTTGTATTCTCTAACTGTAAGATGAAGACAAAAATTAAGGTAGTACTACGAAAGTTGATTTTCTCAAAATGTATAATATTTTATTTTCTAACAACACTTTTAAATTATATAGATAACAAAAACAAGAAAACAAAAAAATATAAACTCACAAACCAAACAGGACATTACAGTAAGCATCATCATAATTAAGCCAATTTTTAATTTATTTACCTCAGGTAACAATTTCCTCAGTGCCAAAATATATTCTTTTGCATCAGTATAATCCATCTTCTTCTCTGACACTTAAACAAGAATATGATGAATTTATCAAAGATATGCTAATAAAATGAAAACATCACTTTTTTCTACCCAATAATAAGAATTTTTTAATAATAATAAATAACAAAAATGAGATTTTTTTACCGTTTACTAGATTTCAGCCTTTTTTAATATTAATTTATTTCCATGACTGCACAAGTAATGTGTGACATGACTGATAATGAGGTGACAAGTAATTGACAACTGTCATCAAAATTAAATTAAACATGCAGAATATACTGTACATATTTGTCATCAGTATTCAAGTAAAACTCATTAAGTCAAAGACTGTGTTTTGGGATAAATCACGTTGAAGTTGAATCTGACTACTCCAATAGCTTTTTCTAGACAGATAATACCTGGGTAAATTTTAACTAACACTTCAATAGGGTACCATATTTTTTCTAAGAAACAAAAATATTGAGTAAAACAATGGATTTCTAGTATTCATTTTCACTGTTTGCTGACTTGATTAGAAAAGAGAATAAATAATAATTTAGTTAACCCAAACGTCACGACCAGCATGACTTTACCAATCAAAGTAATTGAAAAATGTGAGTGTTATATGAAACTCAGAATTATAAAAATTCACTTTTCACTTGTATAATTTGTATAATGTTTTATATTAATAGTTAAAGCATGTGAAGAGCCATAAATAAAAATGTATTAACTCCACTGTTTATTCTAATGTAGTTTCAGTCAATTTATTTATCTATTTTCAACTTTCTGATCGAACACCCCCCTATATGCTGAATCAAAGATTATTTAAGTACATTTAAATAATGTGGAAAATATAATTATCACATCATAAAATGTTACACGTAGTACTTATATAAGAAAAGAAAGTGAATGGACATTACTTGCCTTGTGTTTGATTTGAAAAAAATTCTTCCTCCCGCGACATTTCACACGAAAGACATACTAGTAAGAACATGATCTGAATCTGCATCTTTGACAAAGATAGAAATGAATTCCGCGCGATCACTGACGTCACGAAATGAAATGGGGTACGACGCTTTCTAGTAGTATCAATTATGAGTAATTGAATTTTTAGTTGTAATAATTATACTTGATTAATAAGAAAGCGATTTTAAATTGTACGCCGCGTATTTGTAGCTGTTGTGGTAAGTTTTGATTGGTTAAAATGTATGTTTTTGGTGAAATGTGATTGGTGTGGAAGCAGTTGCATAGCAACGAAGACGCGTGACATTACAGCCTCCCCGGTTGTTACACGTCTCTCGAAAACTCATGATAAATGTGATGAAATTTACTTTCTATATGACATTTGCCGAATGTTCGTTTAGTTTTTGGCGAGTACATTTATCCTCATTTCTTAACATCTTTCTGTAATGTCAGTGTGTTCTTAGTGTGCACGTTCTGATTTGTCGTTCCAAAATGATTTGCGTGAATATGCGAGTAGTCATTCTTGTTATTTTATGTTTGTGTTCCTTCGCATCTCCAAAAGGCAGTGACAAAGATTCATCCGGTGGAAAAAGTACACTAGATGACGCAGAATCCATAGAAGTGTTTAAACCTACTCATGAATGGCAATCTGTAAAAAAAGGTTAGTAAATTAATTTACTGAATATTTTAATATAATAGTTTATTAATTACTGAAATATTTAATACTTGAGTGAGTGATATTAGTTTACTACAATGTAATGATGTCACATACAAATTTTCAGTGTTTTCCTCAGAGTAAATTAGAGTAGTGTCTCATTTGACTAGTATCATTAATAATTAATAATACTTCAATTATTGAAGTGATACTCGCTTACATATGTTTTGTTTTGTTCTCCCATAATGCAATCTATGCTTCACTTTTATTATGACATTTAGGTGTTATCTAAAAAAGCATTGATAAATAAAATTAAAGGTATAACTCAAGTTACGTTTCAACCTTTAATAGATGTTCATTTTCATTTATTTGATACTGAAGAAAATGTGAACAATATTGATAGTTCAGACCATTGAATTAATATAAATGAAATAAAGATTTATAATTATTCAGGGTCATTGTGTGTACCTTTCAAGAGCACTGTGTTTTATGTTTGTGAAATTGCGGCTGAAATTTACCTACAGCTATTATTGTAGTTTATTATTGTTTTTTTTTTTTAATCTTTAGGGCAACCTATTCCAAAAGGTTTGCATGTCAGAGTTAATTTGCAAACAGGGGAAACAGAAGCAAAACTTATATCAAATTCAAACAATGAGAGAACTGATGTTTTATCTGTTCATGACGATGTGAATTCAGAAGAGGATAGAATTGAAGCAGATGAACTCTCAAAGGAAGTTCGAGAATCATTATTGAAACTTGAAAATGAAGAAAAGGCAACACCTAGTGAAGTAAGCATGTTTAATTGCTAGAATATATTTATATTTACAACTCTGACGGGTTTTCGTGTAGAAAGAAGTTTGAACTTTTCCTTAACCAAATCATGTTATTATTTTTCTGTAAACAAAAGGTAGTGGGCCTGATATGAGTTATTACTCACTCTTAATAACCCATTTTATAGTGTAATTATTAAATTTTAATATCTTAATAGAACCAATGCTTATGTGTCATTGTTTCATCACATACTTCATCATATGCGAGTTGCAATCGATCTATAGAGAGTGGTCTGTTTCATTGTCTAGCCTGAGCTAGCATGTGAGTGAGAGATTAATGGTAAATGGACCAAAGTTAGCAAGTTTTTTTAGTTGAAACACTTTATTTTTTAAATGGAAAGATTAATGAATACAAAACTTTCATAAACAGAATGTTTAGCAATCATTTGACACATGTATCCATTTACAAGAACTTTTCTAATTATAATTACATTTTTAAATTATGGATAGAAGCTGTAGTCCACTACAAAATGTGTAGATCTTGGTAATTGTAAAACATTTCAATTACATTTCCAGAAACGTGTTTAACTCTGTGTTAATGGTGAAACTTTCTTCGCAATCAAGTAGTTTTTTCTTTAAAAGAAAAGTAGTGAGCTTGAATGTAGTTACAGAATTAGTATTATTCAATCACTTCATCACTTTTGGAGAATAAGTACTGATCATTATTAGACAAGACATCTTTAGTTAGGTGTGTGTGTGTTGTTGTTGTTTTGTTTTTTTTAATCGGGTATATGTAGTACTTTTATGTTGTAACTTTTCTACAGTTCTTCCACAGGGTTCAGCTAGTTAATGATAATCTTCTTTCTGACATTATATCTCACTCATCTTTTGTGAATTGCAGATTGTTGATGCAGTAAGGGAAAGATTCAGATCATACAAAGAACTTAAAGAAGCATTTAAACAACTAAATATGACAGTTAAAACTGACTTGGAAATCATGCATGAACTTATATTCAAATATAAAAATTTACAGAGATCTCAAAAGACATCATATGATGAGATACTTGCAGTGTTAACAGACATGGAATATTTAGTTCATCAATTTGATAATGCTCTTGAATTTGTGAGATTAGAGGGGTAAGTCATGTATCCATGTGCATAGGAAGTATATATGTCATGCCACATGATATATTACTGCAATGGGTACCAATATAATTTGTATTCAGGGTTTCAGATATTGTGATCCCAATGTTGAATTGCTCATCCCCTGCTGTACGAGCAGAAGCAGCACGACTTCTTGGATCTGCTGCACAGAGCAATGTAAAAGTTCAAATTGCAGCTTTAGAAAATGGAGCAATTTTCTCCCTTTTACGTGCAGTTTCTCTGGATTCAGACTCTGTTGTTCGGATTCGTTCTCTGTATGCTTTATCATGCCTGATTAGAAACTTTCCAGCTGCGCAAGCAAGATTTGTTAAAGAAGGTGGGCTATCAGTTCTTGCTCAGCTGTTTGATAAAGAACAGGAAAATCACAAAATGCAGGTAAAGGTACTGCTATTTTTTTAATATTCTTTTTATTGTAGTAAATATTTACTAACAGAATTCTTGTTGTTGTTTTTTTTCTTGCAGATTAAAGTAATAACACTCTTGTATGATTTGCTCATAGAACGTCAGGATACAATAAAATTGTTTTCTGGTTATACTCCTGTGATTAAAGAAGAATTAGAAATGAAAATGAAGCAGTACAAAGAAGTAGGTTTGGAGAAGTCATTATTAGATCAAGGATGGTGTTCAAAAATTCCTGCAGTTTTGTTGGCCCAAGATCAAAATTGGAGTCGTACAAAGAAAAGAGATGATTTGTCATCTGCATTGACAGATATACCTGTTAGACCTGAACATGATTTTGTGGAAAAAGTGGTTGATACTCTTCTTGCAATGGTGGAAATTTGTCATCATGATTTCAACATTAATTCCGATTTGAAAAGAATGATAATTGGTTTAAGAGAGTGGTATTTAGAATTGGCTATGAAAGAAGAGTTAAATAAATCTGCAAAGCAAATTAGAGAAGGATCAGATGAAAGTAGTAATGACATTGTTGATGAAGGTTTTCTATATTATTCTGGAATTGCAAGAACTCTTGAACGTTTAACCAGAGAATTGGAAAAATTTGGAGCAAAGGATGAACTGTAAATTTCAGTGATATGTTTTCAAGACAATTATTTATTTGACACATTGATTGTGTGACATAGAAATGCACTGACTGGAGGTATGCGTTCTCTGGAATTTCATCAGCCCATGCTCACTCGCTCCTCTTTCTTTCGACACCATGTGTTTGACCATCCTATTAGCTGGTTGCAAGCTCCTAGTCATTGGTGGCCAGCCAAGACCATCGAGTGCTCAGTGAGTTGCTGATAACCAGCGTTCTTCATTCCAGTGAAGAGAGACATGGCTGCCTCTTTAGAGTTGGATCCTATGTTCCAGTAAAAGCAAGGAATAATGAATGTTCTTTAAAATAAATGATCAGCAGTTTTCAAATTCAATTTCTAAACAAAGTATTAAATATTATTTATATTTATTGTATTTATTGTTATTCATGACTGCAAAGTTCATTTTGACTTCCTGACAAGAAAAACTGCGGTTTTTGGTATTACGAAAGTTCTTCCTGAGGGGGTATTCACATGTTTACAAATTTTGAAATTTCCTTCTTTGTGATGTATTTGCACAAGTTATGAACAAATTAATAATTCTGGTGGATTTTTAATTTTGATTTTTTTGAGTAAATGTACTTTTAGTTTTGGTTAAAAATAAATGTATAAATCAATTTCACATTTGCTAATCCCAGTCAATCAGTTTAGAATCTCTATTTTTGGTCTAGATCTCGACAGAATGTGTCCTTTGAGTTTCAAAGTGACGTTCTCTATAATTAGAGGCCAATACCTTGCTTTGTTTTCAGTTCTTCACTGAAATAAACTAGTGGTATAGTAACAACACATACATTCTAACACTATTTGTTACTGCTTGAATTATTTGCAGCACATCATACAGAAAAGACAGAATAATTTCACATATAAATTGATTATTTAGACCTAAAGGCCATTCAATATTTATTTATATATTGCATGCATTATATATTTGCATTACGAATGCATTTGGAACTATGAAATCATTACCCTATGCATATCCATGTGTGTGTGATTTTCCTTAAGGCAAAAATATTTTTATCTTCGGTTTTGTAGTTTTTGTTTTTCAGTTTTTACAATTTTTGGAAAAACAGAATTTAATGAAACTGAGACCTACTTCATTCTTTTAAGTGTTTTTTTATTGTAGAAATGGGAATTGTGTTATTTCCATCTAAGAAAAAATTTTTATGCAGTTTTTGAGTCAATCATTTTTTTTAAAGAAATTGCATAAATTTTAAGCACTAATCGAGCAAAATCTACTGTTTTTTAGAAAAAAATTGTACATGGCCTTTTTTCAAGAGGTGATTTTTTTAACATTTTATTTAAACCAAAAATCTCAATTTTCAATTTTGAGTTTTGAAATATGAACTGTATGCAGTTTACGAAAATGGGACGACCACTATATTTTTTTACCATCCTTTGGTAGGAAAAAAATTAAAGAAAAGCATTTGGTGCCGTTTTTGAGAAAAAAAAATTGTTTAAAAAATTAAAAATTGCCTTTAAATCATGAAAAATTACATGAAAAGTACTCAAATTTTCAAAAATATGACTAGGGCACAGTGTCTACCGGAAACCCACTCACCCACACAAACCGTTACCTACACGCTGACTCTCACCATCAACCAGCAACTAAACGTGGGGTTCTGAAAACGCTGGCCATCAGAGCAACTAGGATATGTGATAAAGATTCGTTGGACTCTGAAATGGAGCTCCTAAAGACTACATTTCGAGCCAACGGATATAGCGCTAACGCTGCCAACCAAGCGGTACGGCAGGCCAAGACCTCTGCCAAAACTTCTGATATCACCAAAACTAGTGACAATTCCAACACAAAAATAGCCACTCTGCCATATATACACAGTGTTACAGATAAGATTGGCAAGCTTCTGAGCCGCTTTGATATAAAGACGACCTACGAAGCCCAGCAAAAACTCGGGCAAAAGCTTGTACGCGTGAAAGATCGCGTCCCTCCCCTTATGTCATCGGGGGTATACGAGATCCCATGCAGTTGCGGCCATAGTTACATTGGCGAGACGGGACGTACCGTAGAGGAACGCCACCGGGAACATATTCGTAATTATAAATACAATAATACGAATAAATCGGCCGTAGTTCTGCACGCACGGAAAACTGGCCAAGCTATTTTATTTGATGACACACGCCTCTTAGCCAGAGAAGACCGCTGGGGCACGAGGAGGGAAAAAGAGGCGGTGGAAATCATCAAACACCCCGATAACTTAAATGCTGACCAAGGCATACGTCTACACGATGCCTGGAAACACCTATTTTACCAGGACGTC